TATGATAAGAGTTTTCACGAATTTAAAAGTATGACACGCTGGCCAAAAATGGAAATCACTACTTCCGGTCCTTAATATAAGAATTCATCTTACTTTTATTTTGGTTCTAAATATAAGATCCTAATTCACTTTGTCTCTCATATTTATCTTTTTTTTTAAATAATCCTTATAATAATAGTAGTTCTAGATAATACACTTGATTAGTAAGAATATTTTAGGAAAGATAACATTTATTTATTACAAGTAGCTAATTTAACTAATTTTATTAATCTACTCAAACTAGTTAATAAGCTCTTATATTAAAGACAGGAAGTAGTGTTAGACGATGAATAGTAGATAAATGTCACGTCCTTGCATCTGTGTATTTTTTTTCATAAAAAAGAAAAATTAAGTTAGTTGGTTTTAGAGCTGATTTAGAAATATGGTACTTTTGAGTTCAAAAAGCGTATTTATAGAAATACTTACTCACCGCAACAGATTTAGATTTTCTCTCATTAACACTATGAGTCCAATATATACATATATTGGCTAGTTATATCAATATACTACCTCTAATTCTTAATATAAAAGTTAGTTGATTAGTTTGAGTATATTAAAAAAAAATAGTTAAATTAATTATTTATAACAAATAAGTATTTTTTTAAAAAAATATTTTTGCTAATTACATATATTAGTTAGAACTATTATTTGATAGAAACACTTAACATATGCAATTATTATAAGAATTATTTTGAAAAAAAATAGATAAATGTGAAGGATAAAATAGATTATAGTCTTATATTTAGAATAAAATTAAATGTTAAACTAGCTCTTATATTAAAGATTGTAAATAATATTAGTTAGTGAAGGGTTTTTCCAATATTTTTAAATTTTTTGGTAACATTTTTTTTTTAATTTAACTCTGAAATTTTGGAAATTTTGTAACTGCCCTTGAAATTTGAAATGTCTTGACCACAAATTGTAAATTAATTAGCACATTGATTCCACGTTCCTTCTCCCACCCAAACTAGGGAAGACATATCTATTTATAAAATGAACAAAATGTAAACTCTATTAAAATTTGTGAAAATACGGCCCGCTGTATTCCGAAGATATTTGTTGAGCTCTTTCTTTCCGGGATTTGCATGTTTTTTTATGGAAATATAATGAGTATAATCTAACCTGAATAAAATAATGACGAATTCAAGCGTACTATTAAAGGTCAAATTAAAAGGGCGGTATTTATTGATGTCATTAATGGTTCCATTAGTATCCTAGATTTTTTTTTTTTGATGAGGTTAATATCCTAGATTTTAATCAATCCTTCGTCTGCCAATGATACGATGGTGTTAACTAAATTTCCTCCCCAATTTTTAATCCATCCTAATAGCAGTGCTCTTAAAAAACTTTAAATTTGTTAACTTTTATTTAAAATTTAATAACTTTTTAACTTTATTCTTGTTTAATATACATTATACATCAAAGAAACAAAGTTAATAACATTCATGTAAAAAATTTCTCTTAGTGTCTTATAAATAGGACCAAAAAAAGTCTCCTCTCTTTGTCATATAAATTAGACTAGAAAAATATTTCTTAGTTTGAACCAAAAACCAGCTTGACGGCTTCTTTAAACCAACTACATTTTTTATAAAAAAAATAACTTTACTTTTTTGTTGTCAGAATAACATTACTCATCGTATATAGGCGGAAAATGAATTATTGAAAATGATACGTGATTATTAAAATTAAGAAAACCCATTAAGATAGTGTTTTGTGTGAATAATATTTACTTGTTATTTGGAATTGGGGTAGGTGGGATTGTGAAAAATAATTCCAATCTCAACCATACTTCTCATTATCAATCATTCATACCAAGCGGGACCTAAAATTTCACATCATCATATAAATAAATGGTTAGACCATTTGCCCTCCACATTTCAAGTGAGACTGACACTCCTTATTATCAATCGAGTAGAATTTGATTTAATTCTCTCCATTTCTGTTCCCCCTCTAATGATGAAGAGAAGCCAAGTTCGCATAGGTTTCGTGTTTTATAAAAAAATATTCCAAAGAAAGGAGAAATTAAAAAAAAAAAGTATAAAGATGGAGGAGTAATTTGCATACAACGTAAAGCCAACCCAGTGTTTGAAAAAGCACGATGATGAGCTTCTAGTCTCTATTCCTTTGTTCATAAAACAATTAAAAAATAAAACTAGTAGTCTGCCTGAAGAATCCCTCAAATTAAACTTAGGTCCCGTGTGAGATATACACGCATATATAATCATCATATTTTTTTAAATAATTAAAAAAAAGCATCACTCGTCACGGGCGGAGAATTGCAGGCACGATCAGGTCCGATCTCTTGTTTAGACAAAATAATAAAAACCTGAATCTGATTTGGTCGTGTTTCATGTATAGAAGTTATTGATATTATTTTGACCATTGATATTGATATTGATATTGAAGCAGAAGTGGCACGACATGCAGGTCGGAAGTGGGATCTTATAAGGCTGCGTAATAGACACGGCAGGATTTTTTTTTCCTGGTTAATCATAACTTAATCATGGACAACAAATCAAAATTGAAAGATTCTGAATTTGTTACTGCACTTCCCATTTTTATTCTTTTTTTTTTAAATAAAAAATATGCATACGTGATCAAGATCATGTGGGATTAGGTCGAAAAGGATGTGTTATGCGTGTGTTACACAATTTACAAGTGTTATTCAAAACAGAACAGCATCGGTTGAATTAAATAGTACAATTAAACCAAGCTGGCAGGAAAAAAAATACCGAACATTATTATGCAGGCAATAAATAAGATTTTTTTTTTGAGCTGAAATATTAGTCCATTTTATTAAAAATCAGAAAAAAGGAATCCAAACTCTAGTAATCAGCAAAATAACCTCAGCCGATTCCTTTCTTCTCGCCAGCATCAGTGCTAGGATTTTGAAGATCCTGTCTTAAAACTTCCAAAAGAGAGAATGGTGGCTTGTCAAGCCATCCTTGTGGTACCATATCCCTCGTTATCATAGCTGCAATGAGATCCGCAGCACTAGGCAATAAATAAGATTTGATTCAATTTTTTGTAACGTGGAAACAACATTAGTTGGATTCAATCTTTGATCTGCTTCCATTCAAACTAAACCGATTGCCCCTTGTCGTATTTTTCTAATATAACTACCCGACTCCAAGTTCACTAGTTCTTTCTAATCAATTTAGCCTAGCTTTCCAATATAAATTTCATGTGACATAATATGCTCAATTAACACAGGAAGAGCTTATATGGTGGGTTGGCCTTGTATGCTCAAAGTTCTTGTTGCTGGAGCTAAACAAATGTGAATTTCAATATCTAATTTAATTATCATTATTATCAGAATTTGAATATAGTCCATTTTTTTGACAGATTTAAATCAATATCTTTTTGCTTGAAGACGTTACTGTTAAGACTTTCATGTAATTAACATGTGAGCATAAGACTTCGTTGATTTTATGAGTGCAAGCTTTTATTTGAAAAAAAAGAATCTAACTGACTTGGTTCGGAGCCGTGGCTCGTGTATGGAAAGAGGAAAAGAAAGAAGGAAACGGACGCTTTCCCCCTGAGGCTGGAGGTGCAGACAGTAATGAGTCATTCAAACTTCAAAGTTTCTTGGAGAGGGCGAGGGTAAATTTGCCTAAAATATTGGAAGTAATTTATAAATTAAAAAACTGATGAAATATAAATATAATATCATCATTATCGTGTGGATCATTACCCCTCACCTAGCTCATTTCCCATCCATACGGCATTAATATTAGGACCAGTCTGGTTTCACGTGGAAAATGAATTTTTTGTGCAATAAGGAAAATTTATGGCTGAAATAGAGATATATCTAGTCTAAGGTTCCTTAAAAATGGCTGGCAAAAAAAAAAAAATGTCCCTTAAAACTGGCATTTATGTTGAAGGAGAAGGACGCATAAAAGATGACTTGTATATCTCACAGAGAGGGAGAACAAAGCAGAGGCCTTCTTGGCAAAAAAATAAAAAATAAAAAGCCCAATATTAGCATTTCAATTGAAATTGAAAAATATTGAGGGAGAACCAGAGAGACGGTTCTGCAAAGCTTAGGGGATAGCCACTTTTCATACCCATAATTAGTAGGAGAATCCATTAAAAAATTTTGAAATTATTAAATGTCAAATAAAAAAATTTAATAAAAATGTTTTATTATTTGCAAGTTTAACATTGTTAAAACCTATTAAAATGTTGAATAATTTGAGATTTAGTAATTTCAAAAAAAATTTTAGTATTCTTCTTGGTCGGTATGTTATCTCATTAACAAAAGCATGACTTATCAAAAAGTTGAATGCGGGAAATTTAAAATTTAGGAAATAATCTATATATAAATCACAGGCTACCAAAGTCATTTGCCAAAAAAAAAGAGAGAAAAGAATCTTTTTTATTTTACGGTCACAGCAAAACGAAGAATTTACTCTCACATCATATCCATTCTTTTAATAAATTAACATATTTATCAATGTTAGAAGTTATTAGTATGATTTTTAGAATTCAGAATAATTATACTTACAGTTTGAAAATTACAACTGTTTAATTATATCGAGTAAAATTTCTAAAAAGATTATGCAATTTATTAAATTTGATTCTTTTTTTTTTTGTTGCTAAAGCATAGGTATCCTCCTATTTGAGGTGCTATCAGATACTAAATATTGACACTTTTCTTAATAGAAATTCAAACCTTAATTTACTATATTGTGATGAACTAACGCTTTTTAGTGGATGACGCGGGTAGAAAAAAAAGGTAAAACTTTAAGACCAATGATATTTTTCTTCTGTGGGATACCCAGTAATGTCTTGGGTTTGACAATAAAGGCCCGATATACAAATCAACCCTAAAGCCCAAATTCCCCCTGGCCCATGTGCAGCCCATGTTAAGACCCAATGACCCAATCCTTGCGACATACGCTAATTCTGCGTCTGAGGCTGCCCCCTGATTGGAGAAGAAGAGCATGGATTTGTCGCATTATTAAAATGTTCGTGCGAGTCTCCTGTTCAAACCAAAACGCCGAACTTTGCTTTCTGAGCTGTGGGAGAGAGAACGAACACACAGCTTCCGCGAAGCTGGTCGCCTACTTCCCATCAAGGGAAATGGGCGAAAACAAGAGAAAACGTGGACGAAAGCCCAAAATCGCAGACGATGAAATCGCGGCGGAAGAGGAATGCAACAGCAAAGCAACCACCTCAATCACGGCCGGAACGTCTGATCCCGGTAACACTGACAACTCACGTCGTCGCCCTGGCCGCCCCAGAAAGACCAACCGCAAGGAAAATTCCCAACTCAATACTGGGGCTTTACCGGAACGGAGAAGTTCAAGACTCGCCCAGCAGAACGGAGATTCTGAACCCCCGGGTTTGGTTGTAGAATCGCCATTAACGCCTAAGTGGGATAACGTGGTCAAGGTGGTGCCTTCCATGGATGCCGTGGTGAAGGTTTTCTGTGTGCACACCGAGCCAAATTTCTCGCTGCCGTGGCAGAGGAAAAGGCAGTACAGTTCCAGTAGTAGTGGGTTTGTTATTGCGGGAAGGAGGGTATTAACTAACGCGCATTCCGTGGAGCATCACACGCAGGTCAAGCTCAAGAAACGTGGTTCTGATACGAAATACTTAGCAACAGTGCTGGCAATCGGAACTGAGTGCGATATTGGTATTAAAACTTGTCGTCTTAATTAATTTACTTTATTTGGTTCAGCTAAAAATTTTTGAGATCAAATCTTGGGTGTTTGTCTTTAATCATGAAATCGCACCTCAATAAACTTGATCATTGATAGCGTGACTCTACTGTCTATGAAACTCTGGCGCGCACTCTATCTAGACAGATTGGTTGGTAAACGGGTCGGTTAACTGTTGAGTGTGTCCTTCCTGCTGGAATAATTTACAAACTAGATGTTGCTTCGTCCTTTGATACATACAACGATATGTATGTATGCATGTGTATGTATATGTATATGTATATGTATATTTATTAATTTCGATGTCTAAATGGGGAATGCTAGGGTTCCAAATCCTCAAAGTGGGTTTTCCACATCCTAAGGACCGTTTGCTAGGCTGAAGCCTGTTTGCGGCTTGTTAGAGGCTTTTATAATATCACTGCTTGCATGAATACCAGATTCTGGCGAGCCACGACAATTGCACCGATCAAAGCAGCTAAAAGAATTATTGGAATGAGTTCAAATGGAAGAAAAAAATCTGTTGATAAATGAATTCCAATTTGTTGACTATTATTTATCAAATCTTGCTCTATAATCTGATTTGATCTTGTAGTCCAAATAATCCTGTACCATGATGCATATGGAATAGTAGTTATTAGTGAAACAAAAATACTTGTACAAACCACCAAAGTAACTCTATACCCAACGGTCAAAAGATGAAAATCTTGGTAATATTCTGAATCATTTATGCACATCACAGATAGTCGGAATGCAATGAAACGGAATTGAAAGGTTTACAGTAGTAATGAAAGAATGAAAGACAATCGAATTACCGGCAGTCATTTCTTCCTGTGATAGGTTGATTGGGTGGGTTTGGAATATCATAGAATTTCCGCATATCACTTTCCATTCCATTTACTTCCAGTCTACCTTTAGAGCATGGCCAATAAAAGCCTATCTTTAGAGGCAAAGGAGTATGCAGTCTTAGTGAACATCTTGCAGAAGATAATGCACTCTTAAAGATAGCTTGATTAGTTGGGTGAGCCTTCACTTTACTTAGGAGTTGTATGTCTCATGAGTCATATCCAGCCAACATGGGACTCATGCTCCAAGATCATGCTACTCCATACATTCAAGTGTGTGAAAAGTCTCAACTATATTTCATTTATTTATCTTCTTCTAATAGCTTACTATATGCGTGTCTGAACAAATCATTTATCATGCTAATTTCCTTTGGATTTGGATGACAATTCAGCTATGTTGACGGTGAGTGATGATGAATTCTGGGATGGAGTTTCACCTGTGGAGTTTGGAAATTTACCTGCACTGCAGGATGCTGTGACTGTTGTGGGCTATCCAATTGGAGGTGACACAATCTCTGTAACTAGTGGTGTTGTGTCACGAATTGAGATACTCTCTTATGTTCATGGTTCAACTGAACTTCTGGGACTGCAGGTTTGGATTTTCTGAGTGTTTTGGTTTAAGTCTCCACGCCTCAAGTTATTTGTTTATAGATGATATTAATGAACTTTCTTGTGCCCTTCCGTCTTCACAGATAGATGCAGCAATAAACTCTGGAAACTCTGGTGGGCCTGCTTTCAATGATAAGGGAAAATGTGTTGGAATTGCCTTTCAGTCTCTTAAAAATGAAGATGTGGAGAACATAGGATATGTAATACCTACACCAGTTATCCTACATTTTATTCATGATTATGAAAGGAATGGAGCATATACAGGTAGGGATGGAGCATATACTGACACCTGTCATTTCTTTGTTTGAGTCAGCCTCTCTTCCTGCTGAAAACATTATAACATAATGAACTTAAATGGGGAAGATAACTTGAATTTTGTTTTGACAATATATTTTTGGTGTCCCTCCGTTGGTGCCTGGCTGTTGTTTCCAATTATGTTTTCTAGTTATTGTATGTTTGATGGGATGGTTTCAGTACTAATCTGACTCTATATTCGGTATCATGCTTGTCAGGATTTCCAATTCTTGGAGTTGAGTGGCAGAAGATGGAAAATCCTGATCTACGAATGTCAATGGGGATGGAGCCAGATCAGAAAGGTGTGCGCATAAGAAGAGTAGAACCCACAGCTGCAGGATCCCATGTCTTGAAGCCGTCTGATGTTATTCTTAGCTTTGATGGTGTCAATATTGCCAATGATGGAACAGGTAATGACCCATTTTTTACTTTATACTAACCCGTATGCTACTCGTCCACGCTAACTCTTGTATAATTTGATGCGTAATAAACTTCAACTCAGGTTAGTTTATACATGGGTTTAAAGGAAAGAGTGATTCATTCAACTGGGTTTGAGTTGGGGAAGGAGTCATGAAAATTCCTATATCACTTGGTTGGACAAAGAGAACGGGTTTTGATCCTATAAGGGGGAAGGCAAAGGGGATGGATGAGTATAATAAAATGGGCCAGCTCTCTGTTGAACAAAATTCAAAGTCCAAAGCCTATTATTTTAGCAACCAGGGCTGTTCAGTTTTAGCGGTTATGCTAGTTTTTGATTGGTTTCTTGCTAGGCTAGTTTTGGCTATGTTTGATCGGACTAGGCACTGGTTCACTAGTTTTTCGGTAGTCTGATCCAGTTAACATTATGTTTTACATGGACGACTAACCAGGGATACAGAATAGATGCCAAGCAGCATGCATGGGACTTGTAAGTGGTTCCATGCAAGACTTAGTTTGCCACGAGTGAGATATGTGCATAAAGATGAGCTAAACAATCATAAGCCTGTGGGTATTTTTTTTTAATATGTATCTATATGTTTGTTCATATTTTAAAAAGCAGTTCATTTTCAATTTATTAATAATCAGATCCTTTAAATGTGAATTCCCATTTGATAACCAGTTCGGTTTGAAAGTATTACCCATGATTTCTATTAGTTATTACTGACCTCGGGTCATTTTTTAACCTTTGATGAGAATTCAGTTCCTAGTATGTGAAAAATTTGAACCAACCTTCGCTTTATTGAATTAGTGGGTATCCTATGCATTTTCGCAATGCTCGAGCTAAGCTATACTATTTGTGATTTGTGAACGGTGTGGCTTCCTATGCTTTTGTATTTTAATTGAAACCAAATATTGGTGATCGTTGCTGCAAATTTGGAGTCATTTCAAATATTTATCAACAGAAGGGAAGCCACTGACACCATTAAAATTTCATACTGCTATGTGATGTTAACATGGCTTGATTTTGACCAAATCATATATCAACACTTTGTAAACATCTAGCAGGAATTTCTGTTATGAATATCACTAATTGTTGTTATTACGTTGTTCTAGTTCAATTATGCAACCATTTTTTTTTTTTGGGGAAATGATCCTGTTTATCTCGTTTTACAGTTGTCAGAGCTAACATCTAGTTTTGGTATATATTTTTAGTTCCTTTCAGGCATGGGGAGCGCATTGGTTTCAGTTACCTTGTTTCTCAAAAATTCACTGGGGACACTGCTCTTGTAAAGGTTCTCCGTGATTCAAAGATGCTTGAATTTAACGTTAGACTATCAACACATAAGCGGCTTATACCTGCACACATCAAGGGCAGACCTCCTTCTTACTACATCATCGCTGGATTTGTTTTTACTTCTGTTTCTGTGCCGTATTTACGTTCTGAGGTAGTGGCCATCCGCTAGCTTTTTAGCCCCTCTTTTGTTTATTTGTGTGTGTGTGTGTGTGTGTGTGTGTGTTGGGGGGGGGGGCATGTACAAATTTAGATCTAGGGAATATTGTGATTGTTTTTCCATGTAATTTATGTATGCATGCAGCAATGTGAGCACGCAGAGTGTTTTTGGCTATATTCTATTTGAGAATTTGATTCCCATGATATTTTAGTTTCTTGTTACAAGTAATACATAGCTTAAAGTATTTTCTATTTAAATTCATTTTGTTACTAGCGTTAATTTTTGTCTTTTCACCTTTTAGTATGGAAAGGATTACGAATTTGATGCTCCAGTTAAGCTTCTGGACAAGCATCTACATGCAATGGCGCAATCTGTTGATGAACAGTTGGTGGTCGTTTCTCAGGTTTCTTGCCCTCTTTCTCCAGTAGATGCATATGTGTCTGTTATATTTAGTACCTAATCTGCTTATGCTTGAAATTGAAATATGGTGCTAGGTTCTTGTGGCTGACATTAATATTGGATACGAGGATATTGTTAACACTCAGGTAGGTGAACATGATGTAAACCATTATCCAATGAGTTAATTTGTGGCATAACTTGGATGCCCTTGAAAAATTGTTCCATTGATGTAATCAGGTCCTTTCTTTCAATGATAAGCCTGTGAAGAATTTGAAGAGTTTGGCCATTATGGTTGAGAGCTGTGATGATGAATATCTGAAGTTCGATTTGGAATATCAACAGGTAAATGTGATTCTTGCATTCTCTGGTTTATATTTGTTAAAATTAAAAAATTTTGAAGTTACCAAACACATTGTGTCTACTAAAGAATTGTTCTCAACGCCTGAGCATATGTTTTGTTATTATTTTTTTGTTTTTTCGGGGTATAAGGTCGCGTAAGTTCTTGTAAAGAATTGGTTCTGATTAGAGGTTACTACTATGAATTGTTAATATTGGGACAGCTTTAATGTTTTCACTTTTCTCTAATATTCCAAATCGCGTTCGTGCCTTGCAAGACGTTTCAGAAGAAGGGGGAAATTGATTGTGTTATTACCAGTTTAATAAAATGGATATGCTTATGATGATATTTATATTAGCAATAGATGAGCTGGCAGCTGCAACTGTAACTTCTTCAATATACCTCTGTTTGCAGATAGTGGTGCTAAAGACCAGCACGGCCAAGGCAACGACTTCTGATATTCTGACAACACATTGCATACCATCTGCAATGTCTGATGATCTGAAGACTTGATCAAAAATTTTGTTGGGGGCCTTTGGATATTATTGCTTGCTGGCTGTGGCCGGAGTGAGCTCATCTTTTTCGCTGGTCAAACGGAGAGATATAAACATGGATATGCGTCCCCCCCCCCCCCAAAAAAAAAAAAAAAAAAAGCACGCGCGCACACAGACACATTCATTGGATGGGGAGGGCATCATAATGCTTTTTGATGCATGAAGCCTTGGTCCCATTGGGAGTTGAGGTGTTATGTATTTGTATGCTGGACCTTTGAAACACAAGATAATTATCTTGAAGCAGAAAGGATTGGGGAGCCTAGTAATGCCATTCTTGTACGATGTGATGTCGTATTCACAACTTTCACTAGTCATAACCAATATATTTTTTGTTAGGCAAGGAGAAGCATGTACTATTTTTATAGAGAATATTACTGTTACTATAAAATGTTAATATCAAAGCTGGTTCGTTTGAAATAAAACCTAGTGATTTGAATTACCTTAATGGACTGTTGGGTATTTTCCATTGGAGCACTAGTGTGGATGGGCCGTTTGAAAACTAGCATTCAGGTTTTTTAATGAATGCTATAGAATTATTTTGTGTTAATTAAAATTAGTTTCTTTTGGTAAAATTTCAAAATTACTCTGTAGAAAAGTAAAAATAATTTGTAAATAAAAAGAAATTCTCATAATAAAATTTAGGGGGGAGTATATATTTATTTTTGTAATGGCCTATTCCGCTCCTTGTCACAAACCAAGGGTTTCCATGCATGATTATCAAAAGAACAAAATAAAAATCGATGGGAATCCAATCATCTTCAAATAGCTTGGAAGTAACCAAGAAGGAACCAAGCCCGTGCATGTACTGACATTCCAATTCGATTCGGTACGTTTTTCTTCTTCGTCTTCGCCAGGTATCCAAAAGTCTTTATTTCGTCGCTCTTCACAGCATTTCGTCACCTTTCGTGTAGGCTGTGCTATTACTTTATGTGTCCCATTCAACTGACACACGGTGAGATAATCTATCCAAAAGTTCCATCTCCTTTACAGTCGAGATGACTTGTTACCATAGAAAGAAAAATGCCAGCTTGCTCGTGAACAACAGTCGCAGAAAGGTTGCTCCTTCCTCTGTGGAAACTTGAAACAGGTAATTCTAGCTCATTTCTGACGGAAAGCCGTTTGTCAAGAAGCATTTTGTGTGTCCTAAGTTTTCCCAATAAGCAGAGACCATTGTGAGACCACCTTTCCGTCAACGTCAAAGACGACTTGCAAAACATTATTTAAAGGACACAATCTCATTCATCCTCTGGAGGGTGAGGAATATACAAGTTAGACGTACGAAACAACACAATGGGCCCCCTGCGGGCTACATTATACTATGCTGTTCTTTGACTGCATATGTCTTCTTAATTTAAGATGTTAAGAGCTATGAACAACTATATTACAATTGTATTCCCCTTCTATACATTTGCATGCATTTTCTTTTCAGTTCTTTCAGTTTCGTAGCCTTGCAGGAGTGGAACATTCTCTGCGGTAGGTGGTTCCACTCTGTCAACATTTTCATCCACCTCTTCTGTTGATTTTCCCCACATTACTGTATAAAACCCGATCGATATTATCGTGGCTCCAATCAGACTGCAGGAAAAGCAGACAGACTTGAGCAAAACCAACAGTTCAATGAATCATATAATTGCATAGTTCCTTCTCTGCTACCATAATGTGTCAGTTTCTTAAGGATGAACCGATTGTCAATACTTATTTGGTTATCTCATTTGTGCACGAACGTGTGCTTGTTATGTTAAGGCAGGGGAAATGCAGAAAATGGATGCACTCATAATATCGTACCTTCCTAGATGGAGAGTGTCACCCAGGAAGATAACCCCCATGGCAACAGCAATGGCAATTGAGAGTGGCTTAAACATTGCTACATAGAGTGGCCCCTTTATGCGCAGTGCCCAGGTGTGAATTGTATTGTTCACGAATGACCCGAAAATTCCCTACAAATGTGAAAGACAGCGTCCAAAATTCACCTTGGTGTAAGAATTGTTTAATAAGTTATCAGTTGTTTTGGGAATCTTACGGAACAAAGAATGGAGGCCAAAGCTGTACTGGGTCCTATCTTCCAAGCATCTGGATTTGGCTCTGTAAATATACCTACAACTGCTGCCATTATGCTTACACATAAGTTGTAAAAAAACACCACGGTTAACTCATCCGGGTAAACCCTCATGATTTGCACCTGCAGAATGAACATTTGGAATTAAAACTACCTTCAAATGTAGCATTTTGAAGATTTCAGAAATAGAAAGAAGAAATGTATACCTGGACAATGTACCAAAGCGTAACTAGTATATACTCAGCTGTGAGCAGAAGGCCACCAATGGCCCAACTTCGATCCACTGATTTCAGAATGTTAAGAGGTTGATGGAGTGAAAAGGAAGGTGCATGAGTGATGATGATGGGTGGTCCTTTGTACAGAGTAATCACAAATGCCCCTGAAATCGATACTATAGTGCCCAATACCTTAGCTTGGCAGCTCGTACTTTTTATTGCAATCGTTTCCATCCTTAATTTTGGTAATAATGAATAGAACAAGAACGAACAGTCAGCAAACCTAGTATCTTGTGTCTGATCTATTTAATTTTACTATCATTGGTTATTCTTAAACTTACAGTTTATAAATGTACAATAGGAACAGCTTTTTTTCACAGTAACGAAACAGATAGTGAGCATCTAATCATATATCGCAAGTTGTTTTTCTTATATACTCATCAATGTTTGAAATTAATGGTGAGGATCAAACTGGAATTTTCGTCCTCACATTCTGTGCCTCCTCCGTGACAGATGGGGAAGATATTTAAATACTGAAATTTGATGAAGAAAGGGAAAGAAAGAAACCTGAAAATAATGGCAAGCAAGAAAGTGAAAGCTGGGACCAGATTACTTATGGCCGACGAAAGTGTGGGAGAGCTGTAACTGATGCCCGTGTACCCCATGATCTGAGATGAACACCTATAATTCAAGCTCATTAAACAAGAAAAATTTTTGAAAAAAAATGATTAAAGGACTTGAATAAACTCAGACGAAAAGGCCTGAAAACCGCATGCATGTACCCGATGAACCCAAGAAGGAGAATTCTGGAGAATATGGAGAAACTGAGTGGAGGAAGCACCCTTGACCTGCAACAAAAAAACGAAAAACAGAAGATCAGTAGAATAAACCATGAATCATAATCGCTTGATTCGATGGGTGCTTGCAAACAATTCATGACCTTCTGGAAAAAAAGGATACTGGGAGGAGAACAATCGCTGCAACAGCATAAGCATAGACGACAAAGACATGATAACTCATGCCTTTCAATGTTGCAGCTTTGAACAGAGTATTCAGTCCCACGTTGTTGCATTCCATGGTCACCAGCGCCGCAAAAGGCAGTAAATCCTTGTAACAGTGCCTTTTCGCCATCCCTCTTGTTCTCCCTTTCTCAGTCTCTCCCCCACACGCACGCACACTCGCTCACACTGAGACACACATGAAGAGTAAAGTTCAGAGAGATGGGTGGTGTCTTTGTAGGAGCAGGGGATGAAGGATCTGTTGACAACTTGACAACAAAGAAGGAAGGGACGCAAGTGATGAAAATTTAACAATTTTGTCGCATCATTCTTGATAGGATGCATTATTGGTTTCTTTATAATATTTGTTTATTTGTGGGTGGCGTAGATCAGAGTAGGAAATTAGAGAAAAAAGACATACCTCTCGGAGAAAAGGAAATGTGATGTGAAAAGAATCTGTTGATACTAGTGCATGAATACAAAAAATATCATTTGAGAAAAACTCGGTTTGGTTTTTCAAGTTGAGGTGAGATCAGATCACATACCCATGAGAAAAACAGTTGTTTAATCTTATTATAATTTCAAGATTGACATTGACAAGCAACAGTTGCGTGTGGCACGTCGAGAACTCAATATAATAAGGAGTCAATTTGTGGACAACAGGAACTTTCCATCCCAAGGTGCTTGTGGAATCAGAATCCACAGGCAGAGTATTCTAGGACTGAATTCTCATTCTTATGGTCTAACAAGGCGAAGGAACTAACTTAAATTCCTATTAGCTAAGCAAATGGATCGCACAAGTGACAAAAAGGGAAGAAACATCAGGGACTACTTGCCATCCCGACAAATTCTGAAAGGATAGAATGCATGACACTTTTGATGAATACTAATAGGCAGAGCATAAAAGGGCCCCACGAAAAATGGTTGGACGAACTGGTTCAGGAAAGAGGAATAGATTCCATTACTGCTTAGGTTGCCTGTTTTAGAGAAGAAAGACCCGGTTAATAGAAACAGGACTTAGTGTCGTACTAGTCTGTTGTCCCTGTTAAGATCTTGGTAGCCCTTCTGAACAAGTGTGGCTTCCAGTCGGCTAACATCACAGAGATGTCTGATACTGCACTGTTGGGCAGGGATGAAAATAAGTGAGGGGGCTTCTGGGCAGTGAAAAGCTATTGATCCGTATGTTTGTCAAAATTGGTAACCAGCCAGTTGCGTGTGGAGTTCTATTATTCTTGCACCTCTCATTTTGCAGCAACAATACATTTTTAAAGTTAACGATGACATTTTTGACCAAACAAAAAAAGTTGACAATAACATTATCATTCTTTAATTCTACCTTCGTTATTTAGACTTGTTTTTTAAGGAAAAAAGTGTAAATTAAATTAGTTATAAACTCGTGGGACTAATATTTAATTCGAACCAACTTACTGAAGTTTATAATTTATTATATAAATAGTTAATTCTAATTTATGTAATAATTAATTCAAAGAATAATTCTGAGATATACTTTATATTAATTTGATCAGTTTAATTTTTGGAAAAATTGGGGATAAATACCCTATTGAGAAATTAATTGGCAAATAGGACTTAGAAAGATCAGTTCCACATAAAAAAGATTAGTTGCACACCATAGAAGATCAATTGCATGCATACGGAAAATCACTTGCACACAACGGAAGTTTACTTGCACAAATTTCTTAGATCCCATTTGCCAATTAAATTCTCAATGGGGTATTTTCCCTCAATTTTCCCTTAATTTTTTTTCTAAGAGAACAAAATAATTTAGTTGGAAAAAATTAATATTATTGTTGGCCCTTATAATTTGGTCAAATTTTGATTTTAGTCCTTCCAATTTCAAGTTGTGGTTTTCTATTTCTATAATTTTATAAGGTCTTGATATGAATTTAATGGCATACCTTTTAGTTAACTTCGTTAAACATAACGGGTTGTTGTTTTAGTCCCTATATTTAATAGTGTTAACTTAAACCGAGATTTTATAAAATTATAAGGAAAAAATCACATTGAAATTTGATTAAATTATAAGTAACAATAATAGTATTAAAAAAACAAAATAATATACCGCGGCGATTGCTTATTATTGGGACACCATGAAATAATGAATGGATTGTTCCTGGTCAAAAAAAAAAAAAAGAGTGGATTGGCCGCACAACAGTTAAAGTGATGATGATAACGAGTCAAAACAACAGAGGGCCAAATCAATGAACTGTTGAAAAGGATATATAGAGAATCTGTCTCAACACTCCAAATTTTACAAGCTAAGAGATGAGAGAGAGTTTGCATTCATGAATTTAGAATGATTGATTTAGATTTTTTAAATTTTGTATGTAATTACATGTATATATGGAGAAATCACAATACAAGGGACACATCAAATCAAATGAAAGCGAATAACACTAGCTTTACTAATAAATTATTGATTAAGACAGTAAGCAGTCTTATCTTTATAAGAAGAATAATACAAATCTAAATTTCAAAAAACGTATTGAAAGAGATGAAAACATTTTGCCTTCTAAGCTTTGAAAAGAAAAAAATTTTAATTAAATAAAGAAAATGGCCCTAGCTTTGGCTGTATATGGACTGCGTGTTTTACAAGCTAGGAAAATGCCTTTGCTCTCTTTCTAAAGCTCTGTTTCTGGTCTTGGATTCCCACTCATTCAACGCCGTTTCCTTTCACAATCCGCATCTTCCCATCTCAAAGTTTTCTCAGACTATTTTTAAACCTATAAACCTATGAACCCGCCTTCCTTCAATAATTTAATAAAAAAGCATGGCACGAATGAGATAGCTAGATATATTCGGTCAATTTCTCGACTTGTCCTTTATTATGGCCTTACATAGCCCCACAAAAATCATAATGACTATAATTCTTTTCCATGGAAAAAAAAAATCGTTGCATAAACTTCCGTAAATTTTGTATTTAAATATTCTTGTTATATAAATAATTATCGATTGTCAACGTCAGTTAGTGAATAATTTATGGAAAGCTGAGCGACGGTGGCCTCATATATTTAAAAGAGATTTATTTTTTAGATATAGGTATTCTACTGCCAAAAGCAATTTTGTTAAATGTGCTTACTTTTCTTAATAAAAATTTAAATATTAGTTTATCGTGCTACAAGAGAGTAATAATTTTTTTCGCTTAATCCAGCCTCTGTTAATAAGAAAAAGAAATTAGAAATGAGATGCACGTCCATAGTTTCAGACTTCCGGCGCATCAACAAGAATACAAGATGTGCTTTTTTTTTTTGTACAAAAATTTTAGGAGAGGGTTTGGACTCAACTACCATCTAAAGGTAGAGAAACTAACTCATAATTTACTAACCAGCGCGCGCTGGCACAACTGGTAAGGGAGTTGTGTCCCTTAACCATCACCTCTGGGTTTCGATTCTTAGAGGGATGGGAATGGAGCAAGCGTACCTGGGAGGGTCGCCCCTATCGATAATACCCGAGGGATTAGTCATTAGATTCGCTCCAATAGATACCCTGGTAAAAAAAAAAAAAAACTCATGATTTACTATGGCCTATTTTTATGGGCATGAGAACATAACAAGTAAGTTTTTTTCTTTTTTTTTTCTGATTCAATAGATAGAAATCTTTCAATTTCACTAAACTGCAGATATGCCTCTCCTGACACCTTGAACAGCTCAGGATCGGACCCAGAGAGTGTCTGACCCCTTGCCAATTGAATCCCAGGACGAAGGATAGATGTGCCTCTTTTCGGCGGAAGGAATTTTATGACGAGTGTCAAACAAACCCAGGCCGAGAAAAAGGAAAGAAAAAACCCAGCCCTCTTCTTCTCTTCCAAAATAGAAGCCCAAGAGACCCCAAAATATTTGAACTCACATGCGGTCGGGAACTTGACGTGCTTAACTTACTGGAGCTTCGTTTAAATCCCCCGTGACCACGGAGCAGGTTAAGCATAATTAGGGCTGTTCATAAAAACCCATGACCTTATCTACCCGGTCTAGTCCAAAGCTACCGGACCGGTCCAGTTTTTCTTTTGAAAAAAAAAAAACACTAGAGGCCACACAGCAAGTGAACATTTCCACGTAGACAAGCCACATCCACATTGTGAACCAAGTTGACACAGCCTCTTTGTACTTCGGCTTCTTTCCTTTTAAAAGTAAAATTCATTTGTGGTGATCCATATGCCAAAAACTGATTCCTACCACCCATCGAAAGAGCTTGTTGGTGCTGGGTTTCTTGTCACAAGAGTCACATTCATGGGGGGTTCTTGTTTGCTTCTGCTACTCACAGCAATGGGTTTCCCATATTTTAGCTGCGGCAACTAAAATATCAGCTCAGTTATCCTCTATTGTCTGCTTTATTTATTTGTATTGAAAACATATTCGTCGTTTTTACACTTATTATAATTGTTCACAAATATTTAATAGGGACAGCCTCTTTATTACCGCGTCACAGTGAAAGAGAAGCTATCTTTTTAATCACATTCAGTCATCATACTAGGTCAAATTTTTTTCCCCTTCTTTTCTAAAATACCCAAACGGTCAGAATTTATTTACATTCCTTGAATATTGAGGTATGAAATTCTCGCTGATTGAGGAGAGAATTGCGAAAATCTAACGTGACATGTATTGATTATGTCCACAAATAAACATCCTGGGAGATTTAACCCCAAAGTCATGACGTGGGGCAATACAGTTCGAAACATTCTAGTCAAATTACCTTTTTTTTTTTTAAGTTCATAAATATTCTGGGAGAGTTTTGAGAAGGCTCTGTATATTATTCCCAGTGATGGTAACCACACGAATGAGGATTGAAATTCACGTAGTATTTCTTTAGAGCTTATTGCTGAACATCAACAAGCCCACCGAGTGGGGACACCGTAGGATTGTTTAGTTGCTTTCCCGTACTGATAAACCCTTTTTTAAAACCGTTCTTGGTACTTTTATTATAAACACAAATCCACTTCTTCTGCTCCTTTTCATTAACAGTTTTATTTTTATGCATATCGTACGGGCGGGGCATCAACAGCGAATAATCCGCACAAAACCCTCCAAATAAAATAAGATTCAACGCCACTCGAGAACTTTTTTCTATTCTCAAGTGTCCTCACACATGTATGCTAAATATTCCTCACTTTAGCTGGTTTTGTGTGGCCCCGGATCCGTGCATCTAACTTGTTCAGGTGTAGCCACCGATCGGACAAGTTACAAGCTCGCCCACATTTACAAAGCAATTCCATATGACAAACGATTCAAAGTCTTAATCAAACGAGTGTAAATCAAAGCTCTCTATCTTTAACACCAACTTTATTTTCTTCAGTAAACAACGTACAGACTCCTGCCTGAGTTCCATTACACGTCATTCCGTTGTTTGTTATTATCTTCCGCATTGTCGTAGTTCTGACACAGAGGAGTCTTGCACTGTGGTTGCACTTCTGAGCTGCACAAGCCATAGTTCTCCTTCGTCTCTTCTTCCTCTTTCGCTTTCCCCCATATCACCGCATAAAACCCAACCGACACTATTACTGCTCCAATAACGCTGTGATATATTTCAAACATGCCAACATACAGAATGTTATGCCAAAGGAAGCATACAGGAATCTTCTTTCTAAAATTTTCTGGTTTTTGGGAATAAAAAATAACTGATAACAGAGCAAGACAGTGGATTCCTTGCCTGCCTAGATACAGAGCATCGCCCAGGAAAATGACACTCATAGCAGCAGCAATGGCGATGGAGACGGGTTTGAAGATTGATACAAACACAGGGCCTTTCAGATGGAGACCCCACGTATGAATCAGAATGCCTAAGCATGTGACAAAGAATGCCTGCAGGGAAAAATAAAAATCAAACTGTTAGTGTCAGGTGTCATCACCTGTTCTTCATTTAATTCCGTGGCCTTTTCCGCCTCGCAACCAAATCCTTACTGAGTAAACAATGGAGACCAGTGATATGTCAGGTTTTATCTTCCAGGCACTCAAGCCTGGTTCTGCTATTAAACACACTGGTGCAGATACAATAGTCCCACACAGGTTGTATAAAAACACCACTATCAGCTTTGCTGGATATTCTTTTATGACTTGGGTCTGTCAAAAAAGTCATAGAAACTCAAATTACAGAGAAATTCCCCTAATATTGACTGAAAACCACATGCAGTAGAAGCTTCTAAAATTTGTAGGATTATCTTGGAAAATATTATGCTTACCTGAACAATATACCAGATTGGAAGTAGAAGATACTGGACAAGAAGTAGGAAGCCACCAAGAACCCATTTCGTTTGTGGCGATGAAGAATCCAGTGGAGAATTTGTGGGAGGGGGTGGCGATGAAGATGATGCTGGTATGAGAGCAGGGCCCCGGAAGAGAACGACTAGGAGGGCACCAGCTATTGATGCTGTTGAGCCTATGATTTTGGCTTGAGTGCTTGAACTTCTGAACTCTGCCTTTTCCATCCTTCATAAATACATGGACCCAGAAAAATTGAAACACTGGAATATACTTATTCGCAACGATGTAAATATTAATAAATAAATCTGGAATTAGAAGTATATATCGTATGGACTTAATGATGGAGAAGGAAGGATTCCGGATTTGAAATAGCAGAGACACACCTGAAGAAGACAGCGAGTATGAAGGTGAAAGCGGGAACCAAGTTGCTCATAGCAGCAGCAAGAGTAGGTGAACTGTACTGAATGCCTTGGGCTCCAAGGAGCTGAATGACAAGCCTATCCCTCAGAAACATCAAGAATCAAAAAACAAACAACTAATTGAAGATCAACAGATACAAACCGCGCTTGAATTCAAGCAGAAAAGAAACAATGCTGAAATTTTCATAAAATTGTGGGGACAAAGGATTGTGCGGATGTGTCTTACCCGATGACTGCAAGGAGGAAAATTCTGAAGAACAGAGACGACGTGAATGAAGGAAGGCCAGCTGATCTGTGGAGGATGAAGGGGAGAGAAAGAAGGAGAACGAGAGTGGAAACAGCAGTGGAATAGACGGTGTAAACGTAGTAACTCATGCCGTGGAGAGTGGCTGCTTTGAACAGAATGCTAGCGGTGACGTTGATGGATTCTATAGCTAGAAGTGCACATACTGGAACTACATCTTTGTAAAATTGCAACCTCGCCATTTCCGTCTCCCTTCCCCTGCTTCTGCTCAATCCTCCCCCTCTTTCTCTCTCTATCTATTTAATGAGCCCTCACCGTCACGTTACTCGGAATCGCCATCACCTGCTATTTTAATACTCCCCATCTCCAATGGGCCTATATACTCCGTCTCCTGAAAATGATTCAGATATAATTGATTATTTTTCTCAATGTTTTCCATGAACAAGCATCTTATTGTTAGTAATAAATTTTCCGACATCTTTTTGAATGAAAATAAAGGATTAACTGGAAAAGAATCTCTCAAAGAATCACTTTATGACCATGTTAGGTCATGATCAACATTGGATATAAGTGCAGTGCACGGTGTGCTATAATGTCTCGGTATGGTAGTTGTACGTATTGTTATTATAAGTTGAAAGAAGCAGAAAAATAAGTAATTCTAGGTTGAAAGAAACCAGAATTTTTTAAGGGAAGCCACACACCCACCCCATTTTTGCAACATTAGGATATTGACAATCTTTTCCATAAAAAGAGATGGGGGTGGAAGTGAATCAAAATTCTTACCAAGAGAAATCAAGTTACTGAGGGAATTATTCGAGTTGAAGTACAACAGCTTGTTTGTTAAGCGCTTTAAAAAAGTTGATGTTCTCAAATTTTAACACAAGTTATATAATTCCAGAAGACAAATAACGAGATCCGAATAATGGCATGCACGTGACGCGTGGGTGCTCCCCATAAAACATGAGGGAAAGAAGAGTCAAAAATGACATTTTAAAAAAATGCTGGGGGTCTTGGTCGTACATTATCCTATTACACCTCCAAGAGAGGCATACGTTTTTATTTTATTTTCCGTACCGATTTGTTTCGATCGTTTCGTTGTCTTCCAGCCTTGTATTTGTACCACTTCAGATCCAGTTATGCATAATTGTTAAGGTGTTGACTCGGTATTAAGAGTGGCTATTGGGCTTACTCAGCATATGGCCCAAGTCTTGAAGTCCAGCATATCGCAACTCACACACATCAAGTCAACAATGAAACGTGCTATTTTCTTCTTTTTTTTTTATTATTTGATCATAGGTTTTCTCTTTTGAAACTTAAAACGCAAAGTGTTTTCATCTCTCTCAACAAATGTATTTTTCAGGATTTGATTTTTATATTTGTTTCATGGAAATTTTTTGATGAGGCCCAATATGGGAAAAAATAAAAAGATATATGAAATTACTATACTGACCATGACCACCTTACAGCAAGTTTCCTGAATTAAGTTTACTCAATTCTGATTCCTAGCAGATCCAAAAACTGGTTCAAGTATATCATAAAAGTAGTGGTCGTCAGTCGCAATACATTTCAAGCAAAAAGTTGGGTTAGGTTTCTCGTCACAAGGGTCATAGTCATGGGGATATCCGTACACCTCTTAGATCGTCTGCTTCTACTAAACAAATCAAAGAACAAGCAATAAGCTGAGGTATAGTTTATTCATTTGTATTTAAAAAAGGATTCATTATTTTGCAGATTGGTGGACGGTGATAAGGGAAAACAATCATTTGTATTTTCTTTTCATTACATGACAATTAATTAATTCGACGTTTTCAATTGGATTTTCTTTTCTGACGACATTGCCCATGAAGCTTTTTATCTGAAAGACACACACACACATCACTAATCCACCATGAGAAGGCAGTGCTAAGGAAACCTTGTTATGGAGTTTTTGTGCCTTGTGATTGTGAACCTCATTTATGAGTTTTTTATGCATATAGGACGAGGTGACGTGACATCATTCGCAAATGCTCCACCCAACGACTCTCTCTCTCTCTCTCTCTCTTCTTTTGGTTTTCCTAAACGTTCTCACATTTGTCTGCTAAATCATTATAACTAGTTGTGTGTGGCCATGGATTCGTGCATCTAACTCCTTCTCATGTAACGGCAGATCTCAGAAGCTGGAAGCGTACTAATATTCATAAAACAATTCGATCTGAAAAAGGATTTGTAAATCTTAAATCAATTAAAAGCTCTTTGGCATCCGATGATTTCTTAAGGATTTCCTGCTTTCATAAGCAAGAAACCTGAGCACACACACCATTGCATGTCATTCCGTTATTTACTATTATCTTCCTCATTGACGTAGCTCTGCAACAAAGGAGTCCTGTTATTCGGCTGGATTGCTGGGCTACCCAATTCGCATTGCTCTTTCAACTCTTCTTCCTCTCTCGCTTTCCCCCATATCACAGCGTAAAATCCAACCGACAGTATAGCTGCTCCAATAACGCTGCAACATTTCAAACATGCCCAAAATACACACCATTATGCCAAATGTAGTGTATAGGTGTCTTGTTTATAACTTCTACCTGATTCTACTTTTCTGGTTTTGAAGAAGAAGAAAAAAATTTGATAAGAGAGAAAGAGAATGAATTCCATGCCTGCCCAGATGCAGAGCATCGCCCAGGAAAATGACACTCATAGCAGCAGCAATGGCGATGGAAAGAGGCTTGAAGATTGACACATACACAGGGCCTTTCAGATGGAGGCTCCATATTTCAATCAGACAGATTAAACATGTACATAAGAATCCCTGCAGGATGACAGTGATAATCAAACTGTCCGTTAGTGTTCGTTAGTTACTTGTTCACCCTCTCATCTCATGGCGCGTTCTCCCATGTATACAAGCAAATACTTCGTTTCTTACCGAGTAAATAATGGAGAGCAATGTTATGTCAGGCTTTATCTTCCAAGCACTCAAGTCTGGTTCTGCTACTAAACACACTGGTGCAGCTACAAGAGTCCCGCACAGGGTGTATAAAAACACCACTACCAGCTTTGCTGGATATTCTTTTATAACTTGGGTCTGTTTAAAAAAAAAAAAAAAAAACACAGATCTCAAGTTCTGGAAAATTCCCCTAGTTAATATTGACCCACCATCAAACTCGCTAGAAACTTGTAGTATTTGCACATTGGTAAAGAGCAAGTTTACCTGCACAATGTACCAGATTGGAGCTAGAAGACACTGAACAAGAAGGAGGAAGCCACCGAGAAGCCATTTCGTTTGTGTTGATGATGAATCCCGTGGATAATTTGTTGGAGGAGATGCTGACTTGAGTGCAGGACCCCTGAAGAGAACAACTACGAGTGCACCAGAAATTGATGCTACTGTACCTATGATTTTCGCCCGAGTGCTTGAACTCCTTAACTCTGCCTTTTCCATCCTTCACACAAGGACGCAGAAAAGTTATAACGCTGCAAAATTCTTACACGCAACAGTTATCGAAATAAAAAATCGAGGAATTAAGAGTATCCTATGCAAGTAATGGTGGAGAAGGAAGAGTTGCATATTTGAAAGAGCAGAGACACCTGAAGAAGACGGCAAGTATGAAGGTAAAAGCGGGAACCAGGTTGCTCATGGCGGCAGCCAGAGTAGGTGAACTGTATTCAATGGCTTTGGCTCCGCAAAGCCGAGTTCCAAGGCTGTCCCTCAGAAACAACAAAAGTCAAACAAATAATTGAGGCTCAACTTATATATATGAGTGAAGAGAGATGCAGACGCTGAAATTTTCATGCGATTGTGGGGACGATCATGTCTTACCTGATCAGTCCCAGGAGGAAAATTCTGAAAAGCAGAGACGACTTGAATGAAGGAAGCCCAGTTGACCTTCACGCACAGAGATATAAAGGATGAATAGAAAAGATTAAAAGAAAGAAAGAAAGAAATGCCGAGAGAGAGATGAAGAGTTTGATGAAGGAGGAAGAGAGAGTACCGACGGAGAACAAAGGGCAGAGGAAGAAGAAGAACAAGAGCGGAAATTGCAGAAGCATAGAGGGTGTAGACGTAGTAATTCACGCCATTGAGAGTGGCTGCTTTAAACAGAATGGCAGCACCAACATTTATGCACTCCGCAGCAATCAGTGCACATAGTGGAACAAGGTCCTTGTCCCAGTGCATCCTCGCCATTTCCGTCTCTTCCCCTGCTGCTGCGCAAACCATTTGGGAATCTCTGGGTCATGATTTATTTTATATTACCTTCTGCCATCGTAATAATAACCTTGTTAATCAAAGATGAATTAACGATAATAGTGGTAATGACAATAATCATAAAGAAGTCAAGCAAGGGCTTAGGACTATCTAAAAGTTAGTCACTATGTCATTATCCCTTGTGGCTTTCATTACGCCGCATTGTTTCACGCACATCATCATTATGATCGAAATCTGGTTAATTATAGAGTTTAAGTTGTAGAATGACGCTGAAAAATTGTTGGGGTTTTACGGTACTAGTACTCCTCTTGCCTTATTCATAGAGTAATTCTAATATATTTCACATAGATAAAGAAACATATTAAACTACATTAACTCTTTAAAATATAACAACATTTCAATTCAATTCTTATTTAATATATATATTTTTGAAAAATAACTACCTATACTAGAATAAAGATTAAAGAGATCCAGTATTGATTCATATCTTTTGTTGTGCTGCCCAAAAAGGAAAAAAATCTATAGTTGTGGTGATTCCCCTGATCCCCCATGATTCCATGAGAAGGCAGCGATGGGAAAGCCATGCACGTTATTGGGACCACCTGGGGAGATTAATATCATTTAGCTAATGGATTGTTAAAAACCCACAATAACCTCCCTGATTTTTAATGAGATGTGGATATTATTATACGTAAATTCAGGCGCATGATATTTCAACGCATCTTTCCCTTCGAGTCAGATGTCGTGCCGTATTGTTGTTATAATGATATGTAGGTATGTTTTGAGACTTTGTTGAAAAGCTACTTGGTACTATGATGATGGGCAAGTTTTACCCAAGAATCACTGTAATAAATTAACTTTCAATGGCTCTTACATAATTTTGACATTTCACAGGATCATGGAACAAAATAAAATTATGAAAAGACATGGCTGCCCTTATTATATATATTCATAAAAATAAAAAAAGGGGTCAACCGTTGGTCGATCGAGCTTCGGAGAATATTTTAAGAAGTCTTAAATCATGTAAAGGGCCCTTTAACGTCCAACGTAAACGTTTTCATCAGTATTACTATTATCTCCCTTGTATGTCATTCCGTCATTTGCTATTATCTTCGGCATCGTCGCAGTTCTGCCACAAAGGAGTCCTGCAATTCGTTTGTTCTTCTGAGCTGCACAAGCCGTGCTTCTCTTTTAGTTTTAACTCTGCTGCTTCTTTCGCTTTCCCCCATATCACCGCGTAAAACCCAACAGACAGTATCACTGCTCCAATAACGCTGCAACATTTCAAACATGCCCACATATAGAATATCGTGCCAAATGAAGCATACAGGAATCTTCCTTCTAAAATTTCCCGCTTTTTTGGAATGAAAAATAACTGATAACAGAGCAAGACAGTGAATTCCACGCCTGCCTAAATACAGAGCATCGCCCAGGAAAATGACGCTCATAGCAGCAGCAATGGCGACGGAGAGGGTCTTGAAGATTGTGACATACAAAGGGCCTTTCAGATGGGGACCCCACGCCTGAATCAGACAGCTTAAGCACGTCACAAAGAATCCCTGTGTCAGGTGTGATCACTTGTTCATCATTTAATTTCATGGCCCGTTCAGCCTTGCAAGCAAATCCTTACTGGGTTAAAAACGGAGGCCAAGGATATGTCAGGTTTTATCTTCCAGGCGCTCAAGTCTGGTTCTGCTATTAAACACGGTGGCGCAGCTACGATAGTCCCCCACAGGTTGTATAAAAACACCACCATCAGCTTTGCTGGATATTCTTTTGTAACTTGGGTCTGTCGGGAAACCACATGAACTCATATTACAGAGTAATTTCCCTGATATTGACTCAAGATCATATGCAGTGACTTGGAAAATTCGCAGAATTTTGCTGGATAAGATCATATGTTTACCTGAACAATATACCAGATTGGAACTGTAAGATACTGAACAAGAAGTAGGAAGCCACTAAGAACCCATTTCGTCTGCGGCGATGAAGAATCCAGTGAAGAATTTGCAGGAGTAGGTGGCCATGAAGAAGATGCTGGCATGAGCGTAGGACCCCTGAAGATAACAACTAGGAGGGCACCGGCTATCGATGCTGCTGAACCCATGATTTTGGCCTGAGTCTTTGAACTTCTTAACTCTGCCTTTTCCATCCTTCATACATGCATGGACCCAGAAAAATTGAAACACCGGAATATTCTTAATTAGTCGCAACAATGCAAATATTAATACTAAATAAATGAATAAAACTGGAATTGGAATTATGCATCCTATGGATGTAATGATGGAGAAGGATGAATTGCAGATTTGAAAAAGCAGCGACACCTGAAGAAGACGGCAAGTATGAAGGTAATCGCGGGAACCAGGTTGGCCAGAGCAGCAGCAAGAGCAGGTGAACTCTACTGAATGGCTTTGCCTCCAAGGAGCTGAGTTACAAGCCTGCCCCTCAGAAACATCAAGAATCAAAAAATAAATAACTAAATGAAGATCAACAGATATAAATCATGTTAGAATTCATGCGAAAAAGAAGCAACGCGGAAGATGTCATAAAATTGTGGGGACAGAAGGATTGCGTGAGTGCAGTGTCTCACCCGATCACTCGAAGGAGGAAAATTCTGAAGAACAGAGACGACGTGAATGAAGGAAGGCCAGTTGAGCTTTGGAGGATGAAGGGGAGAGGAAGAAGGAGAACAAGAGTGGAAACAGCGGTGGAATAGACGATGTAAACGTAGTAATTCATGCCGTGGATAGTGGCCGCTCTGAACAAAATGCTGGCACTAACGTTAATGCAATCTATAGCTAACAGGGCGCACAGCGGAACTACATCCTCGCAAAGATGCATCCTAGCCATTTCTGTCTCTCTTCCCTACTTCTGCTCTGCTCAATCCTCCCCCTCTCTCTGTCTATCTAATTTAATGAGCCATCATCCAAGAATCACGATCACGTTTTTATATTAATAAAAAATAGTAGCTCAGAGCCTCAGAGAATCATAACTAAAGAAAAATAGAAATTGAAAACGAGTAAAAATATTGTGAAGTAAACAATAAATTGGGAAATAAGTGATCTTAAGCTGACAGAAATCACGATCGTCCTCCACCCTTTTGTTTGTTGATGAGGTGGGGCACGATGTGGATGGAAGATAGCAGCCTCTTTAATTTGTTTTGCTCTTGTTTTTCTCTGTAATGTCTTTTAATTGAGTAATGAAAAAACCGCTGCATTTCAAAGGTTACACGGATAAATGATATTGTTAAGCGCCAGAAAAAAGCTGACGTTTTCAACACAGTAACATAGTAATGCAGAACACAAAGGAGTGCTGTCCAAATTATGTAGATATTAAGCAACATGAGGCAGTGTCGCTTTGGCAACATCCGACAAAATTGTATCAGACCAACATGATGCAGCTGGAGAAGGATCTCCGAATAATGGCATGCACGTGACGTGCAGTCAGTGTTCATCACTTTGATGATTAATTTAAACTCATTAGATGTGGATCATCTATATTTGATTTAGATGGTTCAAATTTAATTTCTTTTTATTTTTATTTATTTAAAATAATTATTTTAATAGGTAAAAAGTCCAAAATAGAGATAATACCTGTGACTGATGATCCTTGCCATAAAACTTGGGGTCTTATTATTCCTCCAAGAAACGGATGCGCTTTTTTTTCTATTTTCCCTGCGGATTTCTCATCATTATTTTGTTACTTTGGGCCCATATGTGTTCAGTCGGTATTCTCTTGGCCCATTGGGCTTTGTCAGTATAACGCCCAGTATTCAGTTAGTAAACAGCCCACTTGAATGGAAAGTTAGAATAAAGAGATCCCGAATTGATTCATATCTTAGTTGTGGTTTTTAGCATTACCTGAGCTGCGCTTTTGCAACATGCCTGATCGCGAGTTAGATTCCAATTTTCGCAAAGATCCCACGCAAAAGACGCTGGCAATTGACCCCTTAACAGGTGGCCACTTATTGTAAGACATGGATGGACAGGTCATCATACAATATTTTGAAATATGAAGCCCAAATGTTGGTATGTATAAACTACAAAAGCCAATCTGCTCTTTAAACAAGTCCAGCACAGAAAACGACCTTGGACGCATCTACTGGCGGCTTTGTTCGAGTGCCACATAAAACTCTCACTCATTATTCATGATGCATTAATACGGTCAAGCAAAACATGTTCTTCTCACAATGGTCAAACTCATGTGGCCGGAATATCATAAAGCCAACATCATTGTCATTAGAGTATATAAATTGCCCAGTGACCACAACCGAAAAAGGAAATGACATTACTGCCGGCCCATGCTCGTCGGATATTAGTTATAGATAGCATGATGGGATGTGGTTTATTATTTCTTAATGGCAATCGGTCCCAGTTAAAAAACCAAAATACTTGCATCATCAGCCAGCAGGACTTGTTCAATTGCCGGCATATGATTCAATATGTGGACTCTCTTAATTTCGCTAACCTTGCCATGTTAATAATCACTTTCTATTTAATATCTCCACATACTCGTTTGTCTGAGAGTCCAAACGGAACAATTCTCCATGTGGATAATCTTCGTGTCATTCCTTCTCTTCCTGAACTCTGGCAATTGTGTGGAGGACGAGGTCAGCAGCACACTGATAAACTTTCTTGCAAAACTCTCTAACAACAATGGACGCCAGAACTCTAATTTGGTCTGGAAGCCAGGCTCTGATCCCTGCTGGGACCTGTGGCAAGGCGTGGTATGTGATGATAAAAACGCCTCAGTACAGAAGCTACTTCTTAACAGGTCCAATTTAGCTGGAACTCTTGACGTTGCTATGCTTTGCAATTTGCGGCCCCTCGTCGCGTCTCTCACATCTCTTAACCTCGACGGCAACGACATAAGTGGAGGAATAGCAAATGAGGTTGGAAACTGCAAGCATCTCACTCACTTTAATCTAAGTGGTAACCAACTTTCTGGGGACCTTCCTAGCTCACTTGCCATGCTGAGTAATTTGAAAGAACTCGACATCTCCAGCAATAGGTTCTCCGGGAACTTGCCAAACATGTCCTTAATCTCTGGACTGAATTCCTTTTTGGCACAACATAATCAGTTCACGGGGGAGATACCCCCTTTAAACTTTTCCAAATTGGACTATTTCAATGTATCCTTCAACAATTTAAGTGGCCGTATTGCAGATTTGCAAAACCATTTCTCTGCGGATAGTTTCTTGGGAAATCCTGAGCTTTGTGGAAACCCTTTGCCAAAAAGCTGTTCATCTCTCCCTATATCCGATGCCAAACCATCTGATTCAGAAGAATCGAAGGGTCCTTCCAAAAGCCAGATTCTTATGTATTCAGGCTATGCTGTTCTGTGTTTGGTCTTCATCCTCTTTGTAGTTCTTGCGCTGTGTAAAAGAAACAAGACAGGAAATAAGGTTGAAGCAGAAAAGGAGGCAACTGATGACAGTACTACTGACAAGCCTAGCTATGTTTCAAATGGATACAAATTAAGCGTGAGCAGACCAGAGTTATCAGTCACTGCTGAGAGTGGGATGGTTTCACAATCACTTGTTGTTCTTTCAAGGCCAAATGTAAATGATATTACATTGGAGGAATTGATGATGTCCCCTGCGGAACTGATTGGCCGAGGAAAGTTTGGTAGTCTTTATAAAGTGATGCTGGACAATGGGATGATGGTCGTTGTTAAGAGGATTAATGACTTAACATCAAGCCGTGACTTCAAAGAAAGGATCCAAATGCTGAGCCAAGTGAAGCACCATTCTGTACTGTTACCTCTTGCTTTCTATTGTTGCAAACAAGAGAAACTTTTGGTTTATGAATATCAGGAGAATGGAAGTTTGTTCAAGCTTCTACATGGTAAATATCATATATACTAGTTTTTGACTCCCCCCTTTCATGAATCCTGTGCTTTACTCTTTTAAGTATATTAATCAACTGGCACTGCCTGTTCATGTTCTTCAGGTTCCTCAAAAGACTTTGATTGGACCAGTAGACTTGGGATTGCAGCTACAGTTGCAGAGGCGTTAGCTTTCATGCATCAAGAGCTTGAAGAATGTGGGATCGCCCATGGAAACCTGAAATCGTCCAACATTTTGCTAAACAAGAACATGGAGCCCTGCATAAGCGAGTATGGCGTTATGGTTATGGATGATCAAGAACTTAAAATTCAGCAGAGTTCATCTTTTGCCGGTTCTTATGCTGCTGGTGCATCAGAAGCCTTCAAGGGAGATGTTTATGGCTTTGGAGTGATTCTTCTTGAACTACTTACTGGGAAGTTGGTGAAGAGCAATGGGATGGACCTGACCGAGTGGGTTGAGCGTGTTGTAAGGGAAGAATGGACGGGTGAAGTGTTTGACAGGTCCCTGATATCAGAGTATGCCAGTGAAGAAAGGATGGTGAGCTTGCTTCAAGTAGCTATAAAATGTATTAATCATTCTCCAGAGGCTAGGCCAAGTATGAGCCAAGTTGTTCTCATGATCAGCGTCATAAAAGAGGAAGAAGAGAAATCCTTGATTTATGAAGCACAGGACTAGTGCTTAATTATGCTTGTCCAAGTTTATGGGTCAAGAAGAGGATCTTCCAAACAGGGCATGTGGGAAACTTGAATATCTATTATTTAGTGTGTTAGATTTAGGCGTTCACTGTACATTGGTTACCTGATTTACTCCTACTTGTATTTTCTGTTCACTTTACTTTAGCGGGTAAAATAAACATGTGTGCCCAGGACTCCAAGTTCATCTCAGTAGTAATTTCAGCACCACTGAAATGCAGCTTTATTACTAATGAACTCATAATTCAGCACTTTTGAGATCAATTCTTTTTACATGAATATTCTTTTACGATGAAGTTAAAGTCACAAAAGCAGACAGCAAGTATCAACAGCTGTAACTGATAAAGAAAAGATGCATTATGCTATTATTAATTTAGGTTCTGGATTCTGGACTAGATAAGCCATTGATGTGAATCTTCAAGCGCAAGCATAACGTTCTCATTTATTACATTACCTTTGATTATAAAAGAAGGATAATAGGAAACAAACTGTGACTACACACTAACTATGAAAACCACAAAAAGAAAGCTCATATCCATATCAAGGAGGTTGCTTTTATATTTGATGACTTGTGAGTACACAAACTCACTTTATGTATAATGATTATCATAAAACCCCTCCATGTCCATAAGAAAGCAACAAGGGTATTAATGAATGAATAAAGCAGCCTCCTTGTAATGAATGGAAAGAAGGAATTACACTTGTAGCAGGCGCTAAACCTTTCTCTTCTTTTCATACTTGAACCTATATAGACAAGGACCTACAATATAATTTGGTGGTGGTTAGTTGGTAGCTTAAGGGAATAGATCTTATCTTAAATGATTCAGAGCATGGAAACTTAAGGCTTTTGTGGGCCATGTGCTTTGATTATTTCCTCTTAGCACACACTTAGCAAGTATTCCCATCCTATTTAATTATCTTCCCTTGTAGCATTTAACAATTAGCTTAGTGATATAGCTTTGGAAATTTTCACCTAACTTGCTTTAGATCTAAGATTAAGAAGAAAAGGTACATCATTCAAAGCCATGACAAGATAACCCATTCTTACAAGTAACGGGAACAAAATGTCATGGAGATTGTTATATTATCTTCACAAGTTTACAAAATTTTCCGGCATATCAGTTGCACCAGCTTCACCATTTGCCCTTTCCCTTTTTGTTTGTGAAAAGGCGCAAGCTCTTGTGGAGGAAGTAACTAGAAAGTAACAAGGATGAGATTTTTTTTCCCCCCCTGGGTGGCGTAACAAGGATGAGATTTTTTTTTTTTTCCCCCGGGTGGCGTAACAAGGATGAGATTTTTTTTTCCCCCTGGGTGGCCAATCATTTAGTTCCATCATTTATAAATAATACTCAATTTGTATGATCGTTTCCTTTTAATATACTTATGACTATATACTCTTAATTATTTTTTCAATTAATAAAGTATTTTCTTAAAATAACTTTTTATTCTATTTTCTTATTTTGTTACGCATACTAAGCTAATTTCAAAGAATATGACAGCTTGATCAGTAGCTATTTTAGAATTATTTTAATGGTGATTCCATAATTTGGTATAGAAAATACTCCCTTCAAATTTAAAAAAGAGTGTGTTTTATTTTATAAGTTTCAATTTTACTTTGTCTTAACATTTAATGTTTTTTTCTCATTTTGTTTTTAATTATTTATTCTTTTTCCTTTGCTATTTTTTCTCATATCATATTTTCCAACACATTCCTTTTTATCATTTTTCTTATTTATTATAAAATATATTTCTAACCTACTTATTATTTTAAACTAATTTTAATTAATAGTGTGGATATTAAAGAGTGCATTTATTACTATTTAAGTCATTGTTAGTACAGAAAAATACCACACACATATCAAGAGGTACGACTCGTCAGTCCTATTCCTTTGGTCCATGCTCTTGCTTCTTCCTTACTATAATAGACGCAGGCGCTGATATCCTTTTTTTTTTTTTAATTTAAATTTCTAGCATCAATTTTCATTTTTTTTCCTCATTAATTATTGACTAGCTCGCCATATTAAATTATTAATTATGCTCATTCTCTCTTGGGCAAAAATGTATACTTGTGCGTATTTATATAAAAACATTTCTTTTGTTTAGATTCGCCCAAAGTATAAATTTTGGCATAGTGTACAGGAAACCTCCAAGTAACTATGAGACGCTTGATTTAATTCATAAAGAGATTATATTAGTTTAATTAGGTAGATTAGAGATTTCAATTTCTTTTTGAACGAAGGTTAGAGATTTTGACTCACTATAGAAGCCTTCAAAAAAAATAATCATAATTTAAGAAATAAATACAGAATAAGTACATAAAAAGAAGTTTTACAGACAAGATAAGCATATGAAATTTGAGTCTTATTCGGGTGAGATGTAAATAAGTCTTTATTCGGCTTGACCGAAATATCCTCTAATTAATTCAAACAGAGGGTTTAAATTATTTTCATTAAATGCTGTGCAATAAGTATATGGTGTTCTTTTGGCCAAAAAAGAAAGCACTCGTGTATGGTATTCTTTGTTCTTTGAAAAATAAAAATGAGACAAACAACTTTCAAGAAAGAATTTAATTTAATTAATGGACAAAATCGTAAAACTGGGCGGTAGACCTTTGACCTTGTTACTCAATCGCATTGGCGGGCGGGAAGCGGAGGGTGAATGAGAGTAAGGCTGAGAAAAAGCGCCAATGAAATGAAATCGTAACACGGACGAAAGTGAAGATCACGCTCTGGTTTCGCGAGTGGGATAGTGAATTGACAGCGTTATATTTTGTCATCGCTAACCTCGCAGTTTGTAGCCCAGTGTCGCATTGGCTCCTTGGTTTCCTTGGCTCTTTACCAGAAACATGACAGGGACCTGAGTACATCCTTGGGGACAGGGACACTCTCCAGAGAACCCCTTTCGCGTTTTCACTTCCCTCTTCCCTCCTTTCGCCTGTTTAAGCATCCCATCATGCTTCCGGCTTAGGGTTTTCATTCGTGGGGTGGAAACTGCTAGCCTGCAGAAAGGTTAGCATTCCCGGCTCAAAATTTCAGGGAGTAAGGCAAGCGCACGCTTGGTGGACTGCCCAAATATGAGCTAGGTTGATTGTGATTCTGATAAGCCTTTCTCTCTCTTTTAACTGCCCCGTCCGTCACTGATTGCCTTTTCATTTGAAATGATGATTTCTGGGGGGAAAATACAATAGCTTACTCGTTGCTTCGTTTTCACAATCATCTTCCATTCCCTTTCTGGTGTATATAATTTCTTTGAAATCTGAGCGTTGAAGCTGTGTGTGAGTTTTGGCGTGGTAGACGGGGAATGTTCTCTTTTGGCTCTGGCAGTTTCACAATGTAAGTAGGATTGTGTTCGATGACGAGCGATTAACATGTTTTATAGGTCTGCCTTGTGATCTGAAGGATGCCGAGAAACATTTATGATTGGTTTTTCAACCACACCCATTTAAAGATGGCTTGGATTCCGCATCAAATCCAGAAAAAGGATGGTTATTCGAACTACCCGCCACCGGTTTTGCCTTCATATCCATCCCCATTCCCAGGTTCTCTCCGCAACGAATCAATGTCGTCGTCTTCACCTCCGTCTGGTGGCAGTAGTAGAAATAGTCCGGCTGTTCTTTTCATTATTGTGATTCTAGCCCTGCTGTTTTTCGTATCTGGTCTGCTTCATCTGCTTGTCAGATTTCTCGCGAAGCACCCATCAGCCGGTCCATCTGCTCAGTCTAATGGACACCAAGACATTTCTAACTCCGATACCTTGCAGAGGCAACTCCAGCAACTTTTCCATCTCCATGACTCAGGGCTGGATCAAGCTTACATCGACGCGCTTCCTGTTTTCCAGTATAGAGAAATTGTGGGTCTGAAAGAACCATTTGACTGTGCTGTTTGTCTCTCTGAATTCTCTGAAAATGATAAGCTCAGGCTGCTTCCTACCTGCAGCCATGCATTTCACATTGATTGCATAGACACCTGGCTCCTATCCAACTCGACATGTCCTCTCTGTAGAGGAACCCTCTTCAGCCCAGGATTCTCTGTCGAAAACCCGATGTTTTATTTTGATGATCCGAGGGAAGAAGATGGGTGCCCTTGCAATGGAGCAAGTGGGGTAACTGCCAGACAGAAAACTGTGGAAGTTGAAGAAATTGTAGAGAAAGCTGTTCTCCCTGTAAGACTTGGTAAATTCAGAAGGCTTGATATGGATGCAGGGGATAATGCAGGAGGGGAGACTAGTAGCAGTAATTTGGATGCAAGAAGATGTTTCTCAATGGGGTCTTACCAGTATGTGCTTGGCCACTCAGACCTGCGAATTACCCTGAACGATGACAGAAAGCTCTCGCATGGAACAGAAGAGACTGATAAGCTTTCAATGGAGGGTGATAAAGAAGCTAAAAAGATTACGAGCGTGGGTAAGGGGGAGAGCTATTCTGTTTCAAAAATCTGGCTGTGGTCCAACAAGGGAAAATTCTCAAGCTCTTCGAGTGATCAAATGGGCATGCCATCTCCTCTCAACACAGATTTACCATGGATGAGAACAACGGAAGGCACCTAAAAGGTGCCCTCATTCATTTTCCCCTCATCAAATGAATTGGATATTATCCGCATAGGAAACCTTGTAATAGAATTCCCGAATGTGATGATTATGGTATAATATTTGATGTAATGGAATTCTATATTAAATAGATATTAAAAAAAGGAGTACCTTATCTTGCTTCAAAGCTGATCTTCGGACTCTTGATTAAGAATGTGAATTTATCTTCTATGTTGCTAACCTAAGTGGCTGACTTTTCCTATAATAGCAAACGTTATACTGATAGTGAATTTGTATTCCATTTCCACCTTGATCTGCTATTCACGGTTGTTGATTGAATCTGATTGTGGAGCCTATCTGGAAAACAGAGTTGCCCTCACTGACAGTGTCAAGGTTGTGTATGGCAGGAGTCAAATGCCTTTGTCAGAGGGCCTTAATTTTTGGGGTGGTAGCTCACTT